GGTCTGGCATCCCCCTCATTTCCTGTCTGAGAGCTAGCAGCTCCCAGAGACCATTTGCTCAGTCATCACAGGGAGGTTGTCATGGGTTGGAACTAGCTTAGTGACACTGTAACACTATTACACTGCAGAGAATGGGGAAGAGGGAGGCCACTGACGACCACGAGGAAAAGTTAGAGTCACCCCATCCCCTGAGAAGTAGAGCAGGCAAGAAGACATAAAATGGGATGTTGTGGGGCTGTGCTCAGGTTTTCCAGAGAAGAATCTGGAGGGATCATAAACATATCTCTTATTGAAAATGATTAGAAGAGCCTGAGCTTCCAGGTCTCAAAACTGTGAGGAAGGAGAGCTTTCAAACCCACAAAGGTGGATATATTCACGAGTATATAAAGCAGAAGCCAGCTGTGTGCACTGTAAGCACAGTGGGCTTTCTTTGAGAATTTCAGGAATGAAAAGGATGTGGGGAAAACGCATATGTCCCAAAGTTGATTGGATGCCTGCGTCATGCAGAACGTTACAAAGAGCAGAGTGCAGGTTAGAAGCAAGGACAGAGAGGGAGGAAACGACTCTACTATCTATCAACCGATGAACGAATAAACAGGATATGTGGTATAGGTACGCCGTGGATTACCAATTAGCCTTAAAAGAAATCCTGATCTATGCTGCCACATCTCATATGGATGAACCTTGGAGACATTAAACTGAATGTAGTAAGTCAGACACAAAAGATGACTATGGATCATTCCGCTTCTGTGATGTATCCAGATTCACACAGATAGAAAGTAGAACAGCAGTTGTCAAGAGCTAGTGTGTGTGTGTGTGTGTGTGTGTGTGAGCGCGCGCGCGTGCGTGTAGGGGGAATGGAGAGTTATTTTTTTCTTGGGTATAGATTTCAGGTTTGTGGTTATGAAAACATTTCGGAAATGGTTTGGGCTGAAGGTTGCTTAGCAACACAAGCCCTAATACTACTGGAACAGTACTTTGAGAACAGGACAGTAAACTTTTAGTGTATTTTAGCCCTCCTAAAGACCACAACAAACAAATAACAAACGAGAGAGTCCAAGATTTGACTCCTGAGTGAAGGTATGAGTGAAGAATGAAGATCACAGGAAGGGCAGCCCAGGATGAGACACCTGAAGCGCTGGAAGAGGTCCGGTGCTCCTCCATCATGTCTGGCTGCAAGTGAAGGCAATAATGGCTTCCTCTTACTTGGCTACCCATAAGGCGCAAAGTAGTGTCTTTGTTGTTGTTTTGAGACAGGATTTCTCTGTGCAGAGCTGGCTGTCCTGGAACTCACTCAGTAGATCATTCAGTAGGCCTTAAACTCACAAAGACTCCCCTGACTCCACCTCCCCAGTGCTGGGATTAAAGGCCATCATCACCACTCTGGAGTACAAAACACTATTTTTTTTCTTTTTCTTTTTTCTTTTTTTCTTTTCTTTTTTTTTTTTTTTTTTGTTTTTTAGACAGGGTTTCTTTGTAGCTTTGGAGCTTATCCTGGAACTAGGTCTTGTAGACCAGGCTGGCCTCGAACTCACAGAGATCCGCCTGCCTCTGCCTTCTGAATGCTGGGATTAAAGGACAAAACACTATTTTAACACAGGACTACAGAATGCCACTTCAAAGGAGGGGCACTGCCCCAGGGGCTCCCAGAGTTTAAAAAATGATCACGTTCTAGTTCACAGACAAATCAAGGGGTCTCTTAATGTCTTAGGGTTTCTGTTGCTGTGATAAAACATAAGACCAAAAGCAACTTCGGAAAGAACAGGTTTATTTCAGCTTACAGTTCCACATTACAGTCTATCCTTGAAGGAAGTCAGGGCAGGAACTCAAGGCAGGAAACCAGGGCAGGAACTGAGGCAGAAGCCATGGAGGAGCACTGCTTACTAGCTTCCTCCTCAGGGCTTGCTTACCTGATGGCTTAGCACCCAGGACCACCAACCCAGGTGTGGCACCACCCACAGTGAGCTGGGCCCTCCCACATCAGTGAAGAAAACACAGCACACCTGTGTCTATCGGCCAATCTAGTAGGGACATTTTCTCAGTTGAGGTTCCCTCTTCCAAAACAACTCAAACTTGAGTCAAGTTGGCATAAAACTAGCCAGCACATATAGAGTCTTGCCATCTGAGTTTACATAGCCAAGTTCCACCTTAAAGGAATCCTCTAGGTCTGTGGCAAAGAGAAGGAATTGAGGCAGTGCCTCCTTCCTAAAGGTAGTGCCAAATGCGGCGACCTCAGCTCTGGGGTGCAGCCCACTGACGGCCTGTGGGGATAAACTGATAAACACAAAGTCCAAGGAGACAGCTGTGTGCGGGCGCAGTCCCCGCTCCTCAGAGGATGGCGTGAGAAAGACTCATAGACCTGAGGCCTCATTCATTCCAGGCCTTCTGCTCCCAGTGTTCGAAGCCACCAAGTCCCAGGCCAACCCGAGGGCCAGCAGGGCTCCACACCACCGCCAGGGGGCAGCTCTGCCGCGTTCCCACATAGGAAGGACAACAGCCCGTCACTTTCTTGGTATGTGGGGCTCGGGAAACCAGGAGAGGGGGGTAGCTATTGATACCGGGTGGCTGTCCTACCCACTTTTGGTAATGATTTCTGCCCCCCCCCCCCAGTACTAGCTTGAGGGGTGAGATGGGATGGAAATTTTCCAGTGCTGGAAAAAGTCAGGGCTCCAGAAGTCCCAGAGCTGAGGACCAGGGAGGCGGAAAGAGGATGCAAAAGCTAGAAATGGGTTTCCATGCTGGGAAATTTCAGGACGGAACAGCTAAGGGGCGCCGGGTAGTAGATACCTTAACTAAAGCAAACAAAACAGGTGCAGTGCCGAAGGTGGGGCTTTAGCGAAGCTTACCCAAATCTCTGTTAATGTGTTTCATCTCTACAGCGATCCCAGTGGGTTGAGGCGCTCTGACCTCGGCAAAACTCCACATTTTCCCGAGAGGCCTGAAAGTGTTTGCCACGGTTTTTCGAACACGTCCAGGGAAGAGCCCTTTAACTAAACCTTTCGGGGCAGATTTACGGACGATATTACAAACAGAACGCAAACTCTCATTTCCCGGACCCTTCTAGGACAGACAAGTTGAAGACACTGCAGACCCCGAGCAGAAAGACGGCTGTAGTTTATCCTCGAACGTTATTAACAGCTTGCGAACAATTCTTCCCATATTTCATCCTCAAATACGTTGCCACGAAGCAACACGCGACGCTGTGAAAACCATGGTGTTTATTTACATATGGGCCGACTACTCACAAAACTTAAGCGTTCGATGGAAAATTGGACATCTCGGTAAGGACTCTTGTCTGTATCAACAAAGCGCTCGCTGCCTGATTAACAGTGTTGATTAATGTTGGCGCAGGTTAAACGGAGCCCATTACAATAATTATATGGTCCAGCCATACATCAAACGAGAGGCATTGAAAAATAACGCGTTCAAATCGCGAGGCATTCTCGTAGATCTTTCAAAGATCGCTAAGAGACTTTACGGGCCATTTATAAGTGGAACTGGTGGCTAGCCATTGGAGAGAACCAAACCTGATTTAAAAAGAAGTCTTCCTTGGGGGCGGGAGTTTATTTTTGAGACTCTGTGATGAATGCCAGTTGGAAAAAGCGTTTCAGGAAGTAGGAAAGTACTGGGTTGATAAAATGGCATACACAGGAGGAGTATTTGAGATTGCTCCTCGAGAAAGCCATTGCATTTTACTCAGTCATTGGCAGATGGCCATTTTAATCAGAAAGTTAAACTTCTAAGACCGAGTTCCCTCTTTGAAATAGAAGCATATCAGGAAATGCACCCTTCCAAAAGGCTGGGCTATGAGAATGAATTCGGGTTACACAATTATTCGGATTTTCCATCAGTCAAAACAATTAATTTAGTTGGCGATAAACACAGCTATCCTAAAACAGAATCATATTTGAATTATTCCCACTAATTTGCCACCTGGAAGAAAAATGAGCCGTGTGGAGTTGAATCCCATATTTATAAAAAAAATCGTTTATTTTCTCAATGAGTGTAAGAAATATTTAATGTATTTTCCAAAAACTATAAACAGTTTATCTCGAAGTACGTCCTTGCTTTGTCTTTTTCGAGCATGAATCCTGCCTGAGCAGCATTGTGTGTATGTTATAATAATTCCAGTGTTTACAGAGTACTGTGAAATGCTCACTAAACGAACACACCTTCTATTGAAAACATAGCTCTCCTTTTTCTAACATGGCAACAGTTTTTTTTTCTTTTGAGTTGCCCCTACGTGCAATTTCTGTGTGTGTGTTCGAGTTTTCACTAAAAATTTCTATTTCTTTTCCTCATTCAACCATTCCTTGCTCTATTCCCATGGAATTGGTAAGATCCTCTCATTAGAGTGGCTTAGTTTAGCTGTCAAATCTCTAGGGCATTCAATTGCAGATAAATGGCTAAAACGCCAGCCTAACCGCATTTTTATTAACAGATGGCGGAAAACAAACGTCTTTGGAGAAGAACCGAAGGAAAAGGGTTAAAGGGTCAATAAACAATTATTACCGTGCTTAAAATGGGGGGATTTCTCATCAGATTCCACAGGCAGAGGCTGGCCCAATCCAGGGGAGCTGGGACTCCCCCCGCTCAGTATTCCAGGGACCACCTCACACACAGAGTAGTTGTCCCCCAGCGGGACGGCTCCCACAGGCCACCGAGTGGTTCAATCGCCCAACCGAAGCGTCCCCGGAGTGCTTCTGACGTTGGGGTTGAGGGCTAAATCTGGAGAAGCAGGCCAGGGGCTGAACTCGTGCAGCCTTCAGATCCGGATCGCCGCGGGCTAGGGTGTGATACAGGATATCCGAACCCTTGGCAAGAAATAGAGGGGTCCCGTGTCCAACTCTTGCTGCCGCCCCTCCTGCGGGTGAACTTTCTCTCCCAGCACGCTGATTTCCCTCTCCTTTCTCTCCCTTCCCTGTGGCTCTGACGTGCACACCATGTGACAGGCCCCCTTCTGCTATAAGCCCAGACAAGGTCCGCCCTCTTCTGGACTCAGCCCTGGCCTCGGCGAGCTCTGTTCCTAGATTTCGCACACGCCCCGCGCCCTCCTGGGCGCCCGACACAGACTGGCCCGCCGGGGTCCCGCCACCCCCTCCTCAGCTGACCCGGCCGGAGGGACCGCAGAGGAGGTCAAGTCAGGCGCTCACTGCCCCGTGCGTTTGGAGTTCGGGAGCGCAGACGCCGCGCGCAGCCCGAATCGCAAAGTCGAGGCGCAGGGCTCGGCAGCGGTTCCAGCACCTCCTGCAGCCGCGGGTCCCAGCGTGGCGTCCCCGCTCCCCGCCCGCCGCCCCGGGGCCGGCCTGGGGAGCCGAGGGAGCCGGGAGCCCGGCGCCCCTATGCGCCGCCGCGTCGCCGCGCCGCCCCAGCTATGACCCTGAGCACGGAGATGTCCGATGCCTGCGGCCTCGCCGAGGAGACAGACATCGACGTGGTGGGGGAGGGCGAAGACGACGACGAGGAGGAGGACGATGACGACGAGGGCGGCGGCGGGCCCCGGTTGCCCGGCTCGGCCCAGCGGCGGCGGCGCTCTTATGCCGGGGAGGACGAGCTCGAGGACCTGGAGGAGGAGGACGACGACGATGACCTGCTGCTGGCCTCGCGGCCCGCCGCGTCTCCCGCGCCTCCGGGCCCTGTGCCCGCGTCGGGGACCGGCACGGGAAGCTGCAGCGGTGCGGGAGCGGGAGGCAGCTCCGGAACCGGCGCGGGCGCGGGCGGCGGTGCCAAGAACCCACTGGTGAAGCCCCCCTACTCGTACATCGCGCTCATCACCATGGCCATCCTGCAGAGTCCGAAGAAGCGCCTGACGCTTAGCGAGATCTGCGAGTTCATCAGCGGCCGGTTTCCGTACTACCGGGAGAAGTTCCCCGCCTGGCAAAACAGCATCCGCCACAACCTGTCGCTCAACGATTGCTTCGTCAAGATCCCGCGCGAACCGGGCAACCCGGGCAAGGGCAACTACTGGACGCTCGACCCGGAGTCCGCAGACATGTTCGACAACGGCAGCTTCCTGCGGCGCCGCAAGCGCTTCAAGCGCCAGCCGCTGCTGCCCCCGCACGCGGCGGCCGAGGCGCTGCTGCTGCGCGGCGCGGGGCCGGCGGGTGGCGCGGGGGATCCGGGCGCCGCGCTCTTCCCTCCGCCGCCGCCTCCCGCCTGCGGCTACGGAGCCTACGGCTGCGCCTACGGCCTGCAGCTGCCGCCCTGCGCGCCGCCCTCCGCGCTCTTCGCCGCCGCTGCCGCCGCAGCCGCCGCCTTCCACCCGCACTCGCCGCCGCCGCCGCCGCCCGGTGCGGCCGCCGAGCTGGCGAGGACCGCCTTCGGCTACCGGCCGCACGCGCTGGGCGCCGCCCTGCCCGGCCCGTTGCAGGCGGCCACAGTGAAGGCGGGAGGCCCCGGTGGCGCCGGGGCGCTGGCACGCTCGCCTTTCTCCATCGAGAGCCTCATTGGTCGCAGCCGGGGTCCAGCGGTCGCCAGTGTGCAAGCCTCTCCCGGGGCCGCTACCGGGACCGCACCGGGACCAGGGGGCGGAGGCTGCTCGGTGCAGGCGGCTGCCGGCCCGGCTGCCGCGCTCACCCGCTCGCTCGTGGTCGCCGCTGCGGCCGCCGCCTCGTCGGTGTCGTCTTCGGCCGCGCTGGGGACTCTGCACCAGGGGACTGCGCTGTCCAGTGTGGAGAACTTTACTGCTAGGATTTCCAATTGTTAGAAACGCCGTTAGCGCGCGTGAGAAAGTGAAGGTAGGACTCCCGGCCCCTTTCTGCGGATGGGTGGTTGGTTTTGTTCGCTCCTCCCAGCCCTCGGCGACCTCGCGCCCCCATTTTTGCCGCTTTGGATTCTTGGACCGGACTGTGTTGGGCGACAGCTGGGGCGCCGCGCAGTTCGGCTCAGCGGGTCCCTCTAATATTTATGCAAAATCGCCCTATGCTGCAACCCTGACTTGGGGAGGGAAGGAAGAGGGTGTTAGAGGAAGTCGCCCTGTTTTAGCACTAGGGGCTTCTTTGACTTTTGACAAATTGAGAAAACCAACCCAAACCATCAAAACTAAGCCCTTTTGAGGTATAAAGATTCTCAGGTCCAGGGGTTAAAAAAAAAAAGTCAATAATGTTTATACGAAGCTCATACAAACCCAGTCTCCAAGAAATGCCTTTATTTGCTCACACTTATTTGGTGTACTTTTTCATGGAAAGGAAAAAAATGAATAACATGTTTACACAAGAAACAAGTCAAATTTTATCATTTCTTATTTTAACCTGTGTTTTGTATCATAATGGACATGGGGAATTTTTATTTTGTACTTATGCGTATTCTTTACAAGGAGTATTGTAAATTTTACTGGCAATTATTATTGTACTATTCTAATGTAAGATTTTTACACTTTTTTTCAGAAATAAAATGCTTAATTTTCAAAGAAAAGCCAACTAAGTAATTGATTGAATTGTCCCTGTCTTAGTTTTTTTTTCCTGTTAAGGATAAAATAAAGGTCTACTAGATAAATCTAAACTCAGTACAGAATCTCTTTAAGTGTTACTCCCACAGAAAGCCTAAGGCAGCCACGGTAGCAGGATGCCATAGCTTTTCATTTCAACTTTCCAAGTCAGAACTTATTTCTCGTGACTGCCCGTGAAAGCAGTTACTTTGCTAGATGTTTACAAGCCTAAGCCTTGTTCATCATAAAAAAAATCAACAAGATGTTTTTTAAGTGGAAGCTGTAGTCACCCTACGGATAATTTAATAGAAGTGTTTGGTTTTATTTGTGAAATTCTCCAGTTAATTTCTGCTCACTTTTAAGCACACACACACACAAAACGGTAATGGAAGCAATGCAAGCGGAGGCAGCTTCTAGTTTAAAATTTTAGCAGCAAAAGGAGATGCACAGATTGTCTGTTTAAAGCGTTAAATGTCCTGGATAGAAGTATTTGCACTTATAACTTGAACTGTATGTGAGAGTTCTAATCTTTAAGATAAAAGTGAGTCCAGGAACTCCACAACAGAGTTCTGAGTGCAAAGGCAAATTTACCGAAATTTTAGCTTAAATGAATAACCCAAGAAATTGTCATCTTTAGACGAGTACATGGTTCAAAGATTTCTAGATGAGAGCACCTCGGGTGTTTATTAATCTAAATAAACAATTTGGGTGATTCAGGGCATCTCTTTTCAAAGGTTAAGTCTTTCATTGCTGATTATAGTCACCATCTAATTCCGTAGGACGCCAAGGCTAGTCTCCATGAGTACAGATGGTCCTAGGAGCTCTCCTGATAGCCTATGCATCTGTAACACTTAATTTGAATGCTTTGGGTCAGCAGGTTGCAGCGGACATTGAATCTGCTTGTTCAGTTTCTTTAAAAATGTGGGTAAATGCACACGCTATGAAGATACAGATTTAACCTATCCAATTCATAGCATGCGCATTATAGGCCAGTACTGGTCACATTTAGGTATCCAAGGAAGGAAAAGACTCAAAAATCTCAAGATGAAAGTTATGTTTCCCGCCCTAAGAGCTGTGTAGAGGAAGGTAAAGAAGAGATTAGAGTAAAAAAAAAAAATCACAGTGAAATGTACCACTAAATGTCTAGCTAACTGTAAATGATGATCTTTACATGCAAAGACTTCTTGTATGCCAGCATAGCTTTAAAGAGACCAGACCAGACCTGCATCCCCCAAGAGCACCTTTATAGAGGCTTCCTTAGGCAGGACCCAAAGGCATAGACAGAGGCTCGCCTGTAGACTTGAGCAACGCACAGAACAGACTTTTAGGTTTGAAAGAGAGTCAAAAAGAAAACCGTGAGATTTTTTTTCTCTCTCTTAGGATGAAAGCAGGGAATCACAGCTAAGCCTTTTCTTCAGATCATGCACCTTTTAAAAGTGCCAAGAGGAGCTCTGCCTCCCAGGTTGTCAGTGCACAAGGCTTAGGGTGACCCTGTTCTAGCCCTCGGGTCCCTAGGCTGGTCTCCCAGGTCACCGTCTAGGGCAGCAGACTGCAAACCCGCTTTTGATCCGGCAGGGTGCAGTGAGGGCTGCCTGCTTGTCTGTTGCTTCCCACCAGGTTCGGCCTCCATTCTGAGATTTGGGTGTGTGCAACGGGCTGTACTTACTCAGCGAGTAAATCTCTGCGAGGGATAGTACGAGGTATAGGCTCACAGTGGTACGGGGCAGAGGCTGGCTATAGACTGAAGACTGGACCATGGGCCTTGGATGGGTGAGTCTGGAGTGTGGGCCGCCAGGCTGGGCTGGCAAGCAGGTGCTGGAACAAAGGAAGCCGGGCTACCCGGGCCTTTGATGGGCAAGGATGTCTCCTCCTGGGGCTCCTCATTCGCATGCAAATCCAGCGCTGGTCCCCCTTTTCTTTGAAGGCAAACAGAAGGATGTTTGTGTGTTTGTAGGCAAGAAGGCTTCTCGAACAAGCCTTCCTCAATAGCCTGGGTCTCGGAAAATAAACCAGTTGGACAAACATTGGCCACCAGCTCTCCTCCTCCCGACTACAAAGTGTGGATTTGCTACAACTCATTAACCCGACGCCTTTCTCTCCTTTTCCTTGTTTCTTTACTCATCAAACGCCCCCGTAGAGCCTGGAGACAAATGACCGAAGCGCGGTCGGGAGGGAATTGCAGTTAATGGGGAGAGGGATATATTGAGGCTAATGGTTCAGGCAGCTCCTGAGGCAGGACCACACAAAAAGGAGCCTCTCCATTGAAGGCTCCGTTGTGCTGCGGGGATTTAATCTGCAGCTAGATCTAGCCAAATGTTATCTATTGCGGGGGTAATGAAGCCCTTATGGGCTGAATTGCTCCTTGTTCCACACATGGTGTCGTGACCTCAGACTGCTTCTTGGTTGATTTCTTTCTCTATCGGGTAATTATTTTATTTCTTTAAAAATCAAAAGCTAGTGCTTCTGCTCAACGACGGGTTTCCTCTCCATTCCCACCCCACACATTTAAGAGGCACTTCCTTTCCTATTAAAAAAAAAGAGAAAGAAAGAAAAAGAAAGGAGGAAAGGAAGGAACGAAAGAAACAAGTAACTGAGGAAGTGAAGGGGAAGGCTGTGGGGAGCTTTCCCAGTCTTTTACTTACTGAAGCATCTTTATATACACCCATCTAACTTTTTCGTCCCCTGCCCAGCAGCCCAAACTTGCTGCAGACAGAACTGGAATTCTAGATACATGCACCCTCCTCCCTTCTCCCCCCAGCCCTGTGAGCATGGATCACAGGGAAAGGCTTCTGTACCTCAAAGATTTTCCTTTCCAGAAACCCACGTCTTCCTGTACCCTGCTGGCAGGGATAGCCCAGGGAATGCTTGTTCTGATGGAGGGTGATTATTTTGATGGGATACCAGCCCCTGCCATTTATTAAAGACTGTCTGAGGCCACTGGATCAGGCTGTTCCTGTCTCATTTTCTTCTTGTGGAACCCAGCTTTCTTTGCGTGAGGGAGGACCAAGCTTTAGAGCTGCTAAAGGTGTTTGCACAACAGGTTGCTGGTGGGTCAAAAGGATTTGGCCCCCTTCACCCGCAGCTAAGAATCAAGGACTCTAGATTATGTTTCTAAATTCTCTGCTAGCCACACATTCTGTTCACCTCTGCTTTTTCTCCTGACAGGGCGAAGTCATGTGAGGGCAACTGAAAGGGTCAAACTCAACCCAAATCAGACATCTTCCCAGGGATACCTCTGGTCTCATCTGGCTTCTTCAGGGGGCTTCGGTGTGCATTTAACTGGAATACTAAGATCCCCCACACTCCCACACACACCCCTTAGAACTGAACCGTACCCAGACAGACCCAGGGCAGCCTGGTGTAGCTGAGTCACGCATGCACAGAGGCATTCACACTCATTGCCCATGGGCTGCCTTTTGCCTCTTCCCCTCTATGATTTTGTAATTAGGCATATGTTTTTTGTTGGTAAACGTGTTTGATGTCACGGCCAGTGAAATGTGGTGTGTTTAGAGGGCCACGAACGTAAATGTGTAAATATGTTTAGTGTAAAATCGAGCCCTTCGACTTTAACAATAAATAGACTGCCAGCTTGGATCCCCTTACGTTTGACAGGAGATGGAGCCTCTGATCCTGGCCAGCTGCTGGGCTGCCACAGGCTTGCTTATCCCCAACCAAATCACTTTTCAGCTGATTCTTTGCATAACACATCTCTCTGATCATCGAGTCTTGCTCTCGCTGGGACCAGCTCAGGCTGCTTTTCACTGCTACCCTTCTGGAGTTCTAGAAGCTTCTCTACCAAGGAAACTCCCCTGGTCATCAACAAGCGAAACCTAGCAAAGAACAGAAGACAACCAGAAAACTCCTTTCAAGGCCTGAACCTTTAGGTGTGACAGGATATAGGAGCTGATGTGGTAGTCAGAGAGGGTGTGCTGACACCCTAACCACATGAAGTGTTTTGACTCAGCATGTGGAGTCTGGGGCCATCGGAGCTGCAAAACGAAACAACGCCTGTTTGGAGCTGCTCTGACTTTTGAGAATGTAATAGAAGTAGAAGAATTCGGAAATCCCAGTAACTTTCCCAACTGAATCCACCATGTAGCTCGTCCCTCATCGAGAAGCAGGTTTTATCTGCACGCCAAGATTCCCTTTCTTATTCCAGCAAACATTAAATCCCCCCCCCCCCACACACACCCAGATAGGGTTTCTCTGTGTGACAAACATCCCTGGCTGTCCTGGAACTTGCTTTGTAGATCAGACTGGCCTCGAACTCACAGAGACCCACCTGCCTCTGCTGGAATTAAAGGCGTGCACCATGACTGCCTGGCTAGCAGTAGATTTTTTTAAAGAAAAAATTTCACTAATATTTCAGCAATAATCTCTTAAAACTTGAGATTTTATTTGTGTGCAGTGCTAGATGTTGAACCCAGGGCCTCAGGTATGCCAGGCAAGGGCTCTACCACTGAGCTACACCCCCAGACCTCCAGAGTCTTCTGAAAGGAGCCTGATTTCTCTGTGAAATATTGCGGAAAAGAATCACTCTGGACTCTGCTTTACAAACCAGATAGCAAAGCTCAGAAGAGGGTAAATAAATGACTAACACAAGGTCATAGCTACTGGGATGTCACGACTGAGGTCTCATTTTATTCACAAGACTGTGTTGCCACTTTGTTACCACCATTCAGATTTGTTAAACCCCATAGTGGTAGTGAAGATGCTCAGGGGTCATGGTATAAGAGAATCCTTTGTTTCTTGTGCAATTCTTTCTGTTTTGCATGCTCACCATGCTCTCTTCCCTGCCACTTCCAGGGGCAGCCTACTGTCCTAGCTGTATTTAAAACCGACATCTAATTATTTCAGACTTCTTTCATGCAGTTCACTATGTGGCACTCTCCTAGAGTCCCCCTTTCCATTCTTCTTCTTGTTCCTTCCTCCTCCTCCTTTTTTTCTGACATCAGTAGTCTTCTTTAAAATATTCT